GTCAGGAGTACTGCTTCCATACTCTCGTCTAGTCAGGAGTACTGTTTCCATACTCTCGTCTTGTCAGGAGTACTGCTTCCATACTCTCGTCTTGTCAGGAGTACTGTTTCCATACTCTCGTCTTGTCAGGAGTACTGTTTCCATACTCTCGTGTTGTCAGGAGTACTGCTTCCATACTCTCGTCTAGTCAGGAGTACTGTTTCCATACTCTCGTCTTGTCAGGAGTAATGTTTCCATACTCTCGTCTAGTCAGGAGAACTACTCCCATACCCTCTCATTTTTTTTAAAGAGAAATGTTTATGACGATAGCTATCGGGATTTTGCATCGTTCTATGTCTAGTTCAGAAAGAAGAGATATACAGGAAAGACGAGTGTGTGATTTAAATGCATATATCTGACTCGTGCTTAAGAACAGGGAATGCAAGGAGGGAACACTCTAACCTTTCCGTCCTCCCGTAAAACAACGATACACAATGTTCCTGTGAGTTACCAGATCGCAGTTTAGAGCTGTGTTTATCACTAGCGTTCGTCAAGTGAGCGTTTCAACTACTCCAACGAAAAGAGTAAAGATATCACCGGTATAACACTGACATATTTTCCACAACAACATCGACATACGCACATGATATGTTTACATCAGGGATTGCTTCAAATCACGAACTGTAAAGAGTATTCTGATATAAGTTCATGTTTGCGTGCGGGAACGACGGTCACATGGGGAAGCAGAAATACTCAAGGTCATTGGAAGAATTGAAGATTATGCACAATTGTTACGGTAGTCTTATTTTTCTCGTTTTTTATTTGATTTTTTATTATTTTAACAATTTGACAACAAAGAGCTTTCTAGTCAGTACTTAATGTAAAAGTGTGTCTGCACATATACCAAACACTGCCTGAAGGTGTGTGGATTAAAAACGGTCGGAGTAAATCAAGAATCCATATTCTGTTGTGCATATTGTGCATTCTTTTTGCAACTTTACCCGCATTTTGACATTTGGCCTACTGTCAAAGACTCGACAAACCACATTACACATTTACTGCACTGTATTACCAAGAGGACTGGGATAACTGTTAAATATCAAAAGTCATCGATTCCTTTTTTCTTGTTTCCATTGTGAATAACATGTTATATAATACATTGTGATCGTGTTCAAATATTCGTGTGGATTCGTTATAGGGGATTTTGTTCTAGTTAGCCATAGTCTGTCATGTAAGTCATTGTCCAGCATGTATGCCAAATGTTGAATAATCATGACCTTTTGCGCACACCTAGTTGTGTCAGAGTCAAGACAATATAATACTGTTAATATCTAAGTTGTTACAAACACAAACAGTTGACCGCTAGGAACAATAAAACACCTTCTGGATAGTACACAGGACTAGGCCTATCGATAATTACATGTATGTTGTATAACTGTTTATTTTTGGTACAGTAACCTTTCAATAACACTCTTCGTAACTATTTTATAAGAAAATCATTTGATTTTTGCAAATTTATCGGTTCAACTGACATATATCTTAGAGTTTTCTACAACATCACTCCTATTCCAGGTCTGTTTCAATTAACAACTGGTATGTTTAGCAATATCATGTAGTACAACTCTGTACAACAATTGGTTCTGCATCATTTCACTGTATAATGTGCGGAAAATAATTTCAAATATCATGACACTCTTTAGTTTTATTTATTAACTTATTTATTTATTTATTTATTCATTTATTTACTTACTTACTGCAATCGTTGGTTAACGTTTGGTCACCGCCCAGAGCTAGGTTCATTCAAGCAGTAAGCAGTACTGCAAGGGTATGTTGTTGTCGGTGTCTAAAAGAAGGTTATCCTAAATGACTGCACCATTATTGCTACATGTAGTTAATATATTTAACATATACTTGTACGTGATATAGTTTGCTACACTGCAAGTTGCGCATAGGTCATGCCTTGGACCGACCCAAATCCGCCAACACGTGCAATATCTGCCTGACACGCGTCATATCTGTTTTAATTCCGGTTCAATTCATTTTATTGAACAGCACAAGCTTATTGTTTTCACAAAATGGTTCATGATCTGGCTCCTTAATATCTTCTAAATATTCTACCTCAGCGTAACCGGCAATTACCACAACCATGATACTCGCACGTGTAATACTTTTCGTCCACTAGTTTTTCATACGAGTCTATAATAAATCTGTTTTGCCATCTGTCATCAGTATCTGGAACTTATTGCCCGACTATGTCAAGAACGACCCTTCAATTTATAAACTTAAAACCCACCTACGCAAGCCCGCTCACAAAATTCAAATTTTCCACTTTAATGGTACCAGACTTGGGCAGATACATCATGCTAGATTAAGAATGGAATGTAGTTCCC